CCTTTTTTTTTTTTTTTTTTTTTTTTTTTGACGGGGGGGAAATCTTTATGGATACCCCTGAGCCCAGGGAGACTCAGGGGTTATGTGGGGACTCTCCCTCCAGACTGGAGGGCCTACCCCACTAAAACCCCCCCCGGGTTTCCCTCTCGCCGGTTGAGTCGGCGCCGTGGGATCAGTGAACATTCACCACGACGCCGCCCGGCCGCCCTAGCTTACGCCAGGGCTCCCGCGCCAACGGAGGGGCGAGTCGGTTGTCCTCCGACCCGCCCCCCAGACGAGTGAGGCCGTGCAATGCAGACTCCGGAGTCCCTGTCCAGAGCCCGCTGGTCTCACTAGGGGATCAGGCGAGCAGCGAACTGCCTTCGCCTTCTCCCCGTACGTCTGCGCCGGAGCGGGTGCGCGTCCGTCGCGTCCTCGCGCACCCGCTCCGCGGCCTCCTTTTGCGACATAACCTCTGCGCAAAAGGAGGCCACCGCCTCCCAGGACTCCTCGCTATCGAGCATGGCGCGCGCCTGTGGCCTACCCTCTCGGTTTTATACATCAGCAACCTCACCAGACTAGTTCGCCTCGAAGTAATTGTTAATCGCCTGCCCTTTATATTATGGCAATAAAGCACTAAAAACTTTTGCTTTTTTAGTTTAGTCAGGCACTTTTACGTAAAATTTTCAATTGGGTATATTATTTTTTAAACTAATGTAGATATGAAGCGTATACCTTTAATTCGTGAAGGTAGGTAACAGGTAGCAATTATTGGTAATACATACTTCCTGAAAAATCTGCTCCCTTCATGCTGAACAAAGACGCGACCAGCTATCCTGACGTCAGAATGCCTGATCAAATTTTTTTTTAATTTCTCAGAATATATGATAAGTAGCAATTATTTAGAAAAGGTAGCAAATAGTAGCAAAAAGGTAGCAATTCTTGAATATACCACAGGCGACCAGTCATCCTGACGCTCACGTTTACTGTTGTTTCTTAGAACAAGAAATCTATTACGATATAGGAAATGGATTTGTTTTAAATAAAATCAAATAAGACTTAAGATGATAATGAAATGCCACCGTGGATAATATGAGTCGATATATTTAATTTGATTCAGTTACCAACAATAAAGTCGGCCATCTCAACAGGTACTCTGACACAGAAGATACTTTTTAAGTTTATAGAATGTCACGATGTTTGACCACCATGATATTCAATTAAGTTTGTATAATTATGAATAAATACAAAAATCCGTCGATCCGGCTGGATTCGAACCAACGTCTTCGAGCAAACGTGTTGTTGCAGATCTTTGTTTTGATTTTTAAACGACTTTTTTGCCGTACCGCCATCTGTGAGAAGTCTAGTTCTTCACTCAGCTAGGCACTTTTACAGCTACCAGCAGCTGACTACAGATGTCACTTTTATAATTATAATTAATAATAATATTTTTTTGTGAAATTGCTCCACTGAATTACAACAAGCACTTGGAAAAATTCGTAAGATCCTATTTTATACTATTGTTTATTCATTATAAGCAAGTAAACAAACTGACTTATAAATAAACAAACCATTATCGAACACTCAGAAAAAATCCCTTCGAGCCGGCCGGATTTGAATCGACGTCTTCTAGCATACCGTGTCAGACGCCAACTAAGCCACGGAACGAACCAGCGGATCTTACGAATTTTTATTTGTATTTGGTTTTTTCATCGACTTTTTAGCCGTAGCGCCATCTATGAGAAACCTTAAGTATTGGGTCATGCAGTTACATACCTTTATAGCTACCAGCTCTGGCTAGAGATGTCGCTATTCATTGTATTAAATTTTTTTATTCAATTGATATTCAATTATTTTTATGTGAAATTACTCTAGGATCGAATCAAAGGAATTTTTTCTAAGTGTTCGATCTGTGTATTAATAATTATAACAAACTAGTGAAATAATTTCACATAAAAATAATTGAAGATCAATTCAATAAAACATTTAAACAAGTCATTACTTTTTAAATTTTAATAATACTTAAATGTATAATATAACTCAATAAATATAAACTATGCCCAAATAGAAATATATATGCTGATCTAAAGTTCGTAGACGGCGCGGTCTGGCATTATTTCCAGGCGTTAAAAAAACACTAAAACAACATTGTTTCAATCAATTGTATTATTTATTATACTTCATTTTGTACTTTAGCGCATATGTAGGGTCCTACTATAAATAATGAACTTAAAAAGTGTTTATAAAAAAACAATCACTTAAAAATAAACGCTCTTAATTTAACGCTAGTATCTAGCTCTATAATAGGATGTGCGTAAGGTAAATAATTAACAAAAAGCTGATACTTAATTAAATCATTATTTGTTGCCACATCCATTTACTCCGGTCAAGTTCATCGGCGGTGCCAGCGACTAGACGCGGCTCAAAAATCTGTGTTCAAGTACTTCAAGTAACAAGTTGGCGTGATCGTCGACATTTTTTTTATTTAACGTAATACAAATTTAAATTTGTTATATATAACTCACCACAGTAGCTGCTCATCGTCTTGTAGGTATATTAAATAATCTTGACCTACTGACTTAATTTTTTCAATTGTATTACAATTTTAAGCAAAATACTCATTATAATTAATTGAATTCATTTCATCGTAGATCCGAAGAGGCACTTTTTTTTCACAGACTGAAGGGAAATAATAGCTAAATACTAATTTCGAAATGAGTTACATACTTTTATTACGTTACTATCAATATTGAAGAACCAGTTTGTATTGAATTACTGCGAAACTAGAACTCTTCTTTGTCTGGCCTTATTACTGTTTATTTTCAGTCAGCCCTCCTAGATCGCGAGCGTCTACACCCTTCGCATTCATATCTCTTTGGACGGTTCCAATCCAAGTGGTTTGGGGTCTGCCTGGACGTCTTTTGGCTGTTCAGTTTCTAGAGACACGATATTTTTTGGTCATATGGCTATCATCCCAACACATTACGTGGCCATATCAACGTAATGGGTTTTCTGCGAAACTCTACAGCCTTAAAGGAAAAAAGAAACGATTATTTAGTTGAAGCTTTTCTTAAACTAGTATATTTAGTGTTTATAAACACAGTATTTTTTAAGGATTCTAAGGCCCTTGTTGTGTATGAGGTGAAAATGTTGTGGCATAATGCGTTGCATATGGTGCGGTGTTACTTAATCTGTTGTATTATTATTGCCAATATAAATTAATGTAGTGATCGTTAGGTCTGGCTGCATCTTTACATCCTATCGTTTTTTAGATGAAAGAAATTGTATTGTGCTTTCATTCCGTCACCAGTGTCTAAAGGAGACGCCACACCGCAAGTGAAGCTAACTAAGTTAGCTTACTTCACTTCGCGAGCTCAGCTTAGCTCACGTAGTTGCATGCAAACCTAAGAAAATACGAGGCCGTAGTGAAGTGCTGCCACTTGTCGCTAGTCTTTCCCTGCCAAGGGGTGAAGGGTGACAGAGTTTACTTAGCTTACCGGGATTATTGGGTAGTTATTAGTTAAATCACGTAGTTCAGTTAACTCGGTTGGCTAGTTAGGTGTAGTCTTCGTCATTTTAGTAACATTACTCGGCTGACATCATACTGAATTTTATTTTAATAAACCAGTCCGGCAACGTGAATCTTTTAGGACCATCATCATTAATGCAGTTGTCAAGTATCAAGATACGACAAAATCCTGTTGAAGTAATGGCCATTACATTACATGTAATATATATGTATTATACATAAGTGGCATTAAATAAGATCTTACCGACAGATAAAGTGACAATTACCGATACCACAATTGAAGTAGGTACATATTGCAATACATAACAAAAGTGCTGAAGTTACCAATTTATGGAAAGTTTATCATGTGCCGACTAGCAATATTTTTGTATTAATTTAATTTCATATTAATTTTTGCTTATTGAACTGGAACTGGTCAAAGAACTGGCATTCATCACTATTATAGACAGACCTTGAATGATTTACTCTCAGTACGATAAAATAATGCTACATTTATAACATCATTAGAAACGCGTATTAAGTATGGTTTATAAATTTTTCATGTACTTACAGTTGATAACATTAATTTGCATAGATAACGCTTCACCGATATCGTTAAAATTGTAGTATGTCGCAATTTAACAGTAAACACGGGATACTTACAAATTACTGTGCATGTAGCTAATAATAATGAATAAACTCGTCCTTTTTTCAGGGAGTCCCAGCACTTAAAGAACAACCCAGTATCTGAAAGAGAACATCTTATGGACGAAGCGATGGTGCGGCGACACAAACACGTTTTCTTTGCGGATAAGTTTCAAGACTGCGTTAACGAACACGTCAGTTACCAGCCCCAAAAACATCAACTCGAACCTCTGAGTGCACCAAGATTGTTCGTCATCTACGATAATGTCGAAGCTAGTGAACCGGGCGATACATCCGATTACAGCGCTGTTCTGGACGCACCTTATTACAAGCTATGTGTTAAAGATTGCAAGGAACCTGGTAAGATTTGTATTGTGTTGTTGTGGAAATAAAAGAGTAGTTAATATCCCACATGAGTATTTGTATAAGCCTCCTATTTGTAAGAGTTTATACTTACGGTATATTTATTAACAATTTTTTTACAGGGTACGTTATGCTTCAGAAGCTAGAGGTATTGGCAAGCGTAGTCACAAAAGATGCTGATACATCTACAAGTGAAAGAAAAATTTCAGGAGACAGTCTATATTCAGAATCAGGGAAAGAATCTATAGAATCAGATGACTATCCCACTACAGGAAAAGGCGAAGATCTGTTGCAGAAGTTAGGATCGAAAATAATCAATTCGCGCAATGTTAAGGGATACATCAAAAGTAAAAACATTAAACTTAATAGCGATGCGGTAGAGCTTTCTGGACGAAGGCGTAGCGGTCCCATGAGACAAGTAAACTCACAAGTATCAAAAAGCCATATTTCTAACATAAAAACATTTAATAAAGCAAATACTGCACTTCTGGAAGACATTGATAAAGAAAATGTAAAGGCGGCAGAAAGTAGAGACAGTACAGTTGATTCGGATATGAAACCAAGGAAATCTATATTAAAAAATAATAGAAGGTTAAGTGGAACTTGGAAAGAACTTAAAACTAAAATAAAAATGAATACTGACAACACAACGGCTGAAGATACTGAAACTTCTGGTTATCGCTCTACCACCAGCAGCAAACTAAGTGAAACGGAATCCGATTACGGCTATTCTACTATAACAGAATCTACAACACCTAGGAAAGTAGAGCTCTATGCGACATCTAAATCTTCCTCTACTTCCGGAATTCTTCCTGATCAGTGCTGGTGCTCTGTACAAATGAAAGCGATCAAATTCGATAGTGATGATGAAGACGAAGAAACTGATGACTCCGAGTCTTCGTTATATACAACTTATCATTACTTGAGCTCTATACATTTCATGGAACATTTTCAAAATAACTTTATGGATATAGGGAAGGGATTGGGTATGACTAAAGAAGCCATTGTCAATGCATTGACACAAGGAGCTAGTATTTACTGCAATACTATGAAAAATGGCAATAAAGTAGGTTGCGAAATTTTTCCTGCTTTAATAGCTGCGTGGCCAAATGCCGCCAATCAGTGGATTATAAGAGAAAGAAAAATTACCCAGAACCCAAGAACAAATTTGCTGTATCAATGGCCTACGAAGAATATGGTTAATAAAGCCATAGGATTTGGGTGTTTGTTGATCCCTATCGGATTTAGACCAAAACGCGGAAATAATCCTAACCAAACAATGCAATGGAGGATTACATTTCCAGCGGCTGAACGATACTTGGAAAGCTATCTGGCTCATTGCCATGTCAGATGTTATTTATTCGCTTTGACTTTGCACAAAGCTTTCATGGAGAACAGAAAAGCGAAAATGGGAATTAACGCAAGTCATTTCAAAAATCATCTGTTTTGGCAATGCGAAGATAACTGTTTGAGATGGCCAGAAGACCGTCTAGGAGAAGCTCTAAGAATTTACCTGAAATCATTTTTCGCTCACTTTGGACATGCCAAATTCCCCAATTACTTTATCGATACTTGCAATGACTTCAAAAGCATACCTAAGCCTGAATTGGCAAAGCATCGAAAACAGCTTCATGAGATTCTAGAAGCACCAGTGATGCACCTACTGTATGCACTTGATAAAATAAAGTACACGAAGAAAGAGTTTTATCCGGTTTTTAAATGTAAACAGTTATATAATATACTGACATGCAAGAACCCACTGCGTATTATCAATCCCAATATACCACAACAGATAGTACATCGTCTAGATAGTTCAGACAGTGAAGAAGACGCTACAAACTTACATGATAAAACCAAGGACAAGCAATATTTATGGGGAAGAAAGAAGCAGCAGCGCTTGGCTGTTCAGAGAAGAATGAACAACATGAAACAAAAGCCTTTAAAACAATTACAGGAGATGAATCGAATGGTAAGTTTTTAATCTTAGCTAACTGGTTTTCCTCGAGGTTTGATATTAAAAGTTGATTTGAAATACGTAAAGGAACCATTTTCTTTTATCTTTCAGTTGATATTACCGCAAAAAATGGAAACGGAACGTCGACCACTGGTTCTCGAATTTTTCATTTCTCATTTTATTGCTATGGCTCGTTCCAGTGAAAAGTTTGAAGCCATTAAACAAGCAGTCATCTACTTGGAGCAGGCTCAACGACTGTGTATTTTGTTAAAAGAAGAACCAGGACATGAAGATAACGCCAATGAGTTCCAGGATGTCATTCAGGACAAATTAGCGGATTGCCAGAGAAAGTTGGTAAATCAGAGTGGATTCAAATTACCGCCAAGAGAAAGTCAAATTGAGAGATCACCTATGAAACCGATTATAAAGGTTCGCCCAAGATATCAGCAGATAGTGGCTCAAGTAAGTGAGTCACCGACAGAAAATGCTGGTATATCGGAATTTACGTTTGTGGATGTCCACACCGAGAATTTAAACGGTTCAAGCAAAATTCGGTTTGATGATATTGCAGAAGAATCGAAGTTGTAATGAATAATTTTAAAAGGGCTGAGCAATAAATCTATTGACGTAATAATTTTGCCGAATCTCTCTGTAGGTAAAATAAGTTAGGTAACGCTTTTTGAATACGAAATTTAAAGATGGAATTAAAATTTTAATAAATCATATGCACTTAAAAATACCAGGCATTTCATAAACAAGTAATAAATTTTTAATATTCGTATATTTTTAAGATAGAGTTGTATATAATATCGCGTTATAATATAATATCTCAGTATTGTTTGTTTACATAATATGCTAAAAAGAATTCTGTACGTTTTTATATTACGTAAATATAGTTTGTAACAATATACTCGATGGTAACAGTTCATTGGATAATGCAGTTGATGTATGTCTCATGGCCAAAACGTAGTTAACAAAATAAACGTTATTTTAGTATAAGATGGTGTTTCACAGTATGTTTTACAAATAATTTATCCAAAAACTCATTAGAGAAAGCTTTTATCACACTAGAGGGTTGACGCCAGCAACCATGGCAAGTAAGGCCATTCGTACATACATTCCGTATTCCGCTTGTCTAAAATAAGCGGCACGAGGGTCTGAGTCGAAGTCAGCTGAAATCTCGTCAACCCTAGGTAATGGATGCATTACCACCATACGACGTCGGGCTCGCGTCATGAGTTGTGGTGTCACTACCAGCAATCCTCGTGACTGGAAATTAGAAAAATAATAATTAAAAATAATTGTATCACAATGTGGTCTGTGGTCCGTATCTTTACCACGATTGAATGCGTTTACTTATGTATGAAATGTGTAAAATATCTGCTGAAATAACTTATTTTTATTGAATCTTAATGTGATGTTTTATTTATACAAGGTCAAAGAAAAAGTTCGTGGCGTTTTTACCAAAAGTCGATTTTTAAGTGGCAGTTTTCTAAAAACTCAGGAAGACTGGCATATTTCATATTAAGATATCACTAAATTTGACAAAAAAACAACTTTAAAACATTTTCATAAGGATACAAAAAGAGACTTCGATGTTTGTGTACTTCATGAAACAACAGTGAAAAATTTAATGGCCCGAATTAACATCTATGAATCGCAGCTGAAACGAAACGAAATTGAGCCGTTTTGAAGAGATTGATGATGGGCGATGAAAAGTGGATCACATACGACAATAATGTGCGAAAAAGATCGCGGTCCAAGATGAATGAAGTTGCACAAACGGTGGCAACGAATTGACGCCACGTTTTGTCTTTGCTGAGACTGGAAGGGAATCGTGCATCACTAGCGGCTCCAACCTCGTCAGATGATTGATTCCACTGTCTACTAACAACAACTAATGCAATTGCGCAACTGAGATAAAGCGGTCAGAGTTAACCAATAGGAAAGGCGTCGTTTTTTATCAAGACAATGCCAGACCATGCATACTCGTATCTTTAATGCCTAGGCTAAAATTGATAGAGTTTGGTTAGGAAGTTTTGATTCATTCATCATATAGCGCGGACCTTGCCCCTTCCCACTACCATTTGTTTTGACCTCTGCAGAACTCTCTTAATGGTCTGAAGCTGACTTCAAAATAAGCCAACAAAAATCACTTGGTTACAGTTTTTCGCTCAGAAATCCCAGAAGTTTTACAGTGATGGCAAAATAGTTTTATCAGCATAATGGCAAAAGTTGGAAAAACGGCACATATTTGTTTCATAAACTTTAATAACAGTTTAAGAAAAATGTGTTAGATATTTAGTGAAAAACGCCACGAACTTTTTCCTTGACACTTATTTTAACATTTGACATAATAAACATAATTTTAGCAAAAATAAATATTTTCCTTACCTGTTCATACTGTTCTTGACTGTCAAATCTTTCCCGCTGTATTCTTGTCATATAGAGAACGTGAGTATCGGCGAGTACATCTTCTAATCGATCAAATATTTTTTGGGATATGCCTCTGCTAGCAACGTATTCCATAATGTGCTTCGGCATTCCGAGACCTGGTGGGCTTACATACTGTAATTGTACTTGGTATAATGTGAGAAGGCGAGCCAAAGAGTGCACTGTACGACCATTCTTCAGATCTCCAACCATAGTTATGGTCAGGCCGTTGACAGTACCGATTTCTTCACGAATTGTAAACACATCTAATAAAGCTTGAGTAGGGTGTTCTCCAATACCATCTCCAGCATTTAATACTGGTTTACGGCAATGACGGGACGCTCGCTAAAAACAACCTTTTTGTTATTTGATTTACATGTCAATATTCAAATAATGCTTAATCAATACTGATCAGTAATACTTACGGCAACTGCACCCGGTTCTGGATGACGCAATACTACGACGTCAGCATAAGTGGCCAATACAGCAACGCTGTCTTCCAAAGTCTCACCCTTTTTAGCAGACGAGCTGGTAGCATCTGTATGGATCACCGATCCGCCAAGTCTCTGCATAGCAGCTGCAAAACTACAACTTGTACGCGTACTAACTTCATAAAATATCGAAGCCATGAGTTTTCCTCTCATTATATCATCTAAAAGACGACCTTTGCTTACACTTGTCTTCATGAATTGCGCGAGGTTAAATATGTCGTTTAAAGTTTCTTTATTAAAAGAGTCGACGGTTAAAATGCTTTTACCGAATAAATCGCTACGCTGACGCTGAGTAGTTATTTGTGGTTGAGTATAGTAGGATGAGCTGTCACATCTTTGTCTTACACCTGGTTGTGGTAATGGAGAAATGCTTCTCATTCCAGCTGCTTCATTAAAGTGGACATTCAATTTTGCTTGTCCTTCAGGTTTCGACTCAATATGATCCAATTCTCTGAGATCCAAGTCACTGAGCCGTAGCTCTCCAGATGAGTGCAAATCTAATGCTGAGCTAGGGCGGCTAGATTCTTTTTCAGTTTTTTCAATACGATATGTCAGGAATGTTTGTTTCTTAGGGATTGGCCAATCGCGAACATTCTGACCGAATCCAGGAGGTACCAAAACTTGTCCTTCTACGTAAGCTATTTCACCTCGTAGCGTCACACGGTGGACTGCACCACAAATGGTCATTCCTGCAAACGGAGTCCATTTTGATTTCGTGAATTCCATTGATGTCGGAATTGTCCACTCATAATCCATATCCACTTCTACATAAGTATTAGGTTGCTCAGGCAAGTTGAAAATTCTACGAGGATTTCTATGAAATTTGTTGATAAGATCTTCCATAGTTAGGCGTCCTTCATGTACAGCGTTCAGCAACAATGGCAATATTGTTTCAAGTCCTGGGAAGCCAGGCGGTGGTCTTTCAGAATCTTTTTCTTCAACTGAATGTGGGGCGTGGTCTGTGGCAAACACATCAATGACATCCATATTTTTCCAAAGCTCAGCTTGATCTTCAGGACTACAAAGAACTGGACGCACCTCAGCTCGACCTTTTCCAATCCTATCAATATCATCCGTACTTAAAAACAAATGTTGAGGACATACTTCACAGGTAACTTTTAGACCACGTTCTTTCGCGGCTTTGATAATCAAAATTTCTTCCTTTCTTGCGACGTGACAAATATGAACAGGTCGATCCAACAACGAAGCCATCAGAATGACGGCACCAGTCTTTTCACGCTCAGCGTGTGCACAAACAGGCATTTTCTTAGGCCAATTTTGAAGATGTTTCTGCCACACTGTCATGTCATCTAATTTTAAGGTGGTGAATGTTTCGTTAAGATACATTTTCAATGCTGCAGCTTGAGCTGCTACTTCAGATACGGTGTCAAAATTTGTTGAAGATGCTCCCATATATAGACTATAATCGCATCGAGCGCTTACTCGTGCTAGTGTTGATACATAATCGTACGCAGTTCGATCTACCACCGGAGGATTTGTATTCGGCATTGCACAGATCATCGTTATGCCACCAGCGAGTGCGGCAGCAGTACATGAGGCAAAATCTTCTTTGTATGTTGCTCCGGGTTCTCGAACGTGAACATGCACGTCAATGAATCCAGGTAACTTTATGATGTTGCGAGAAGTCATGCAGTCCGTATGTGTTTTCATGGGAGGTACTCCACCACATTGAAGCATAGCCTGTTGCGGTATAATGTTATTAGTTTTTTACACATCACACACTTCTACCTTACATAAGGGACATCTTTATGTTCAATAATACAACACTTACCTTTACCAAAAGTTTGGCACATTTAACATCTGTTACTAAAGGAACAGCATAGTCGACGGCCAAACGACGCGTACGGTAACCATGCGTTGTGAAAGAAGAGACTCGTCGAGCTCCTCCCCGCATCGGTAGGTTTATGACGAGATCAAGCTGGCGACGAGCCATGAAATCCGCTAAGTGCATTAGTTCTCCATCTGATCTATCATCTTCTGGATCTCCGATATGATCAAAAGTCCATTGGACACTTTCAACCTGCAAAATAATGCAATATATTATGCACTTTTTCCATTCAAATTAATACCTATTTTCCTGTACTGAATGCCATAAAAAATATAAACCTCAACACCGTGTTCTGTGTAGAAATCTCCTGTACCCATACTGGCGTATAATTTGTATCCCATTTTGTGTAAAACTCTTACACTCGGCAATAATTCCATTTTGTGCTGAAATAAAACAATAAAGTTATGACATTATAATGCGAATTCGAATAATTATACAAGTCGTTAATGATGATACAAAGTTACCTACCTTAAAAGTACCGACAGAGAGCAGTATCGCCTTCTTCGGTATTCTGAAACCTGTACTCATTAATGATTTCAGATACGCTTCATATCGATTTTCTCCAAAACATGCCACTTCTCCGGTAGATGCCATTTCTACTCCCAATGTAACATCAGCACCGGCTAATCTGGAGAACGAGAACTGTGGCACTTTCACGCCCACTTTTCCGCAACCAGTCATAACATCTATAGGTTCAACAGGTATACCCATAATTACCTTAGTTGCCATTGCTACAAAATCGTGATCAAGTGTTTTAGATACAAATGGGAACGATCGAGATACTCTGACGTTACATTCGATTACCTTCAGCTCATTATCTTTAGCTATTAATTGCATGTTGAATGGTCCAGTAACGTCAAGCGTCTCGGCAATGATTCGAGCTATTTCTTTTATTTTATCCAAGGTTTCATTGTTAATATCTTGTGGTGGTGTAACCAAGGTGGCATCACCAGAGTGAACGCCAGCATTTTCAACATGCTCCGACACAGCCATACATAGAATGACTCCATCGGCAGCAACTACGTCTACATCAATTTCCTTTGCATCCATAATAAATTTTGATATAACCACTGGATGTTCTTTACTCACTAGACTTGCTGATTTTAAATATGTTTCAAGTTCTTGATTTGAGTAAGCGACATTCATGGCAGCTCCGCTCAAAACATATGAAGGTCGTACAAGACACGGGTATCCTACTTCTTCGCAGAAGCTAACAGCATATTCAAGATTTGTAAGTTCTTTCCACCTTGGTTGCAAAATACCTTTACGATCCAACATTCTGGAAAATTTAAACCGGTTTTCAGCATTATCCACCATATCGGGAGATGTACCCAATATTCTTGCTTGTTGCCTGTGCAAATCCATTGCAATATTATTAGGAAGTTGTCCTCCCATGGATAATATGACACCGTCAGGACTTTCAAGATTATAAATGTCCATCACGACTTCGAAAGAAATTTCTTCAAAGTATAACCTATCGCTCATATCATAATCGGTACTGACAGTTTCAGGATTATAATTTACCATAATGGTTTTTTTGCCTTGATTTCTCAATTCTCTCAAGCATCCTACTGCACACCAATCGAATTCAACTGAACTTCCGATTCTATATACACCTGAGCCTAATACCATAGTAAAATCACCCGGGAAGTTTATGTCATGTGTAATCCCGTTATATGTTAGGTACAGGTAATTGGTCGAAGCGGGCCATTCGGCTGCAACTGTATCAATTTGCTTTACAACTGGGGTAATTTTAAATTCTTCCCTCTGTTTACGAACAGCCAGTTCAGTACTTTTTATAGCACTGGCAATTTGTTTGTCAGAAAATCCAATTTGTTTCGCTTTCTTTATTATATCGAAAGTAATTAATCCAGGATTCACAGCCTCAAGTACCTTATAGTAATCAATAATGTTTTTTAGTTTAACAAGAAACCATTTGTCAATTTTAGTTAATTCGTAAAGTTTGTTTATGGAGTAGCCTTGTTTTAGAGCAGCTGCCAAAACAAACATACGTTTATCAGTTGGTTCTCTGAGCTCATTTTCATTAACCTTTTCAATGTTAGGATCGAAGCCAGTAACATTTTCATCAACCATTCGCAGAGCCTTTTGGAATGCTTCCTCAAAACTCCTGCCGATCGACATAACTTCACCTACGCTTTTCATTGAGCTACCAATTTTGGTGCTTACTCGGTTGAATTTTGCTAAATCCCATCTTGGAATTTTAACAACGCAGTAATCCAAACTTGGCTCGAAACATGCTGTAGTAACTCCGGTCACTGAGTTCTTGATTTCGGGTAATGGGACACCAAGAGCTAGTTTAGCTGCAACATACGCTAGAGGGTATCCGGTAGCTTTACTAGCTAAAGCGGAACTTCTTGACAATCTTGCATTCACTTCTATGATATAAAATTCTTCTGAATTGGGATTAAGGGCATACTGTATATTGCACTCACCAACAATTCCAAAGTGCCTAATAACTTTAATAGCTGTGTTACGAAGCATGTAATATTCTCGATTAGACAACGTTTGGCTTGGAGCTACAACAATTGATTCTCCCGTATGAATTCCGAGTGGATCCACGTTTTCCATGTTACATACCGTGATACAGTTATCAAAAGCATCTCTAACAACTTCATACTCTACTTCTTTCCAACCTTTTAAAGATTTGTCAATAATAAGTTGTTCTGAGTGTGACAAAGCTTGGTGAGCGAGCGCCTTCAACTCTTCTTCATTGTTTGCGAAGCCTGATCCTAAACCTCCAAGAGAAAAGGCAGAACGTGCCATCACCGGATATCCAATTTGTTTTGCTGCAGTAAGCGCTTCTTCAACTGTAGACACCGCTGCACTAGGAGCTACTTTTTCCCCAATAGCGTTAATTTTTTCAGCAAATATTTTTCTGTCTTCTGTATCTACTATAGACTGAATAGGTGTTCCTAAGACATTCACATTATATTTTTGAAACACTTTTGACTTTTCCAGTTCCACGCCGCAATTTAAGGCAGTTTGTCCACCAAAAGTGAGTAAAACACCTGTAGGTCTTTCAGCTTTAATAACTTGTTCCACATATTCCGGGGTTATGGGTAAGAAATAGACTTTGTCGGCTAAACCTTTTGATGTCTGCACTGTGGCAATATTAGGATTTATAAGAACAGTTTGAATTTTCTCCTCTTGCAGAGCTTTTACACCCTGAGAACCCGAGTAATCGAATTCTCCCGCCTGGCCAATAGAAAGGCCCCCAGAGCCAAGAATCAACACTTTTTTTGGCCTTTCTGGCAATTTTGGCGTAAAGGTCAACAGTTCAGTGATTTTTTGGTCAACTACGTAGTCTTCTTTGTTTTTGTAAGACTTCACTGAATTAATGAATATATCGAAAAGACATTCTAGATCAGTGGGACCAGCAGTATGTTCTGGATGAAACTGGACGCTGAAATATGGCAAAGATTTGTGAATGATTCCTTCGTTTGTCCTATCATTCTCATTGGTAAATAGTATCTTCCAATCTTGTGGCAAACTGTTGGTATCTACCGCAAATCCGTGGTTCTGTGATGTCATGAAGCATCGTCCTGTACCATTGTGTGTACAGGGTAGGTTAAGGCCACGGTTACCGTAACTGAAAATTAAAATCACAGTAAATCAATACACAAGTAACTACATAAGTCTATATCTACTGTTACTTCGGAGTGTTACAATGATACGCTCAAAAATTTGCCTGTGAAATTTACCTTGTTTTGTATGTTTTGCACCCGATAGCTGTTGATAACAATTGATGTCCAAGACAAATGCCGAATACTGGTTTTATTATTGTTTTTTCATTGACAATTGCTTTTAAATTTTCAACAACTTTTTTGCAAACTTCAGGGTCACCAGGACCGTTGCTGATGAAGAGACCATCGAACTGTTTCGGATCCAATTTGTGATCCCACGGCACCAATATCACTTTGGCGTTCCTCTTCACTAAGCATCGAATTTGATTGTACTTAAGACCGCAGTCCACAGCCATTATTGTTACATCCCCATTGGGATTAAAAACTTTTATTTCCTGAAATTGTTTAAAAATTCTTGTTAATAACATGAAATTCGTCTCTTTACATTAATGTGATGTAAATCAGCAGATATAATATGCCTTCACGTATGGTTAGGTTTTAGACAATGTCAGTGCAATAATACGATCGATTATAATTGGTGTATTTAACAACAGTAAAATAAGTATTTAGTAACAGTAAAATAACACGATACTGCAGATAAGCTAAGTACCATTGAAAGGAACGCAAGTAGGTTTAAATATCATTGTTTGCGGGAAAAAAGACTAACCTTTACAGAAACTTCAGCGACCAGGTTCCTCTTGTTAGGATCCGAAATTGATCTCATTGGTCCCAACGGTGGTACACCCTGAATTATCCTACCCAAAGTAACACCTTCACGTAGACGGAAGGTCAGTGCCCGAGTGTCAATGTTACAGATGCCGGGTACACCGTGTGCTGCTAACCAAGCGCCTAGTGACCTGCGTGCACGCCAGTGACATGCGCGACTACTAACTTCCCCTACTACGAGACCCGCTGCCCATATGCGGTGAGATTCAAACCATCTGTAGGGAAAACATGGTATCAGTTTGCTAAAAGGTACATTTAGTAATCTACTTATGCAGTTGCTGTGCTAGGACAGTAAGCGATAATTAAATTACTTTGAACCGTGAAATTGTGCCATTGGTATTGACTTTTGAAATCTTTTCGTGTTGTAGTGCAGTTAAAAAAACAGTTCTTTAAAATCGTCTCAAAACGCGCCAGCTCGAGAGGCAGACGTACTCGTTAGCCATTGGTGATATCGGTTAACTTATGAATACTGGATGAGGTCCCGGGTTTGATTGCCTGTTGGACCAATTTAAGAAAAACCTTTTTGAATTAGTCATTTTCGCTACGCATTACGCTGATACTCCTGGTACAGATAATTTCCCAGTTTGAGATCAGATCTCATTGTTACTTTATTATTATTGTAACTAATATCACAGAACACGTACCTGGGTAGTCTATGCTCATCCTGTTCTTTTTCGTCCGGCACGCCGTAGTTGCCCACTAGTGGATATGTGAGAACCAACAACTGAGCGTGGTAGGATGGGTCAGTGAGGGACTCTGGATACCCCACCATACCCGTTTGAAATACTGAAAAAAAATTACGCAACCGAAACATTAAAAATAAATATCAAATGAGAAGTCCACTAACAAACTGCGTTAAGTGCGTGGAAAAAAAAGCTATAAACTAAAAAAAAAAAATTATTGTTCCGAAAACGGATTTTGAAATGGTACTTTTTTAATTATCTGAAAATTGTGATAAAAAAGAGATAAAAAAGTTGAAGAAACAAAATCACAGTATTAAACTTTTTCCTAAATTTCCATTTAAAAATTAAACATAGAGTTTAGCAACAGTAATCTTAAAATAAATCGTTTTGTAATTGTTCAGAATTAACGTATCTAGTTTTGCAACAAGATTATGTTAACATGGCTAGTTTTGTTATTATAATAGTAAAAAATATAATTTGAATCCAATTTTAGTTTTCCTTTAGACGTCGACAACCATCAATGTGTGTTCATTATCTGTAATTTCTTCTTCTTCAGTCAGATTTGATTGTACGTCCGGACCGCCCGATAATATGAGTATACTATTCAACCAATTAAACCAATCTTCTCCGAAATTTTTGACGATCAACTTTTTAATAAATGAACACGAGTGAGGTCCCTCGTGTTCATTTATTAAAAAGTCGCATCGGATGACAAAATAATAAACAAAATAACGGATTTTGCACGAGTTTATAGTCAATAGAGAAGCGTTTGCAGGTTGACGACAAAATGGCAACTTTTGAAAGTTTACAACTAAGGTAATATTTAGGGCGATTCGCTCTGGACCTTTTGGAGGGAAAAGTGTCGTTTTTATTTTGACTTTCAATTATTTTGTGAAATCTAGTTTAAAGTGGAATAGGATAGTGCTATTGTGCCTTAATCGAAGATTAAAACGCGAAATTATACGAATCTCGAACTAAAATACCCGTATCGGCCCGTTTTAAGGAATCCCGAGTCAATCCAAGCACGCCGCCTCAAATTGCCTATCCTCTTTGTGGCGGCCATATTTACAGAGACATAATTAAACTTCATGTTTAGGCTGACGGCTTTGCCAAAGCCTTAATAAATAAAAAAAAATAATAATATTTAGGACTATTTTCTTCGAAAAATGCCAATTGAACCGAAACTAAATAAGATATTAAAAAAACCCCTATTAGAGGGGGTTGTAGATTTCCATTTGCTAATTTCAGGTATCTTGATAACTTAATTTCGCTAAAAATGTTAATTACGTTAATTATGATAAGGAGAATAGATTAGGTGTCACGTACCGACTTCTCCATCGACTCCAACAGGAGCACCGAAGCTGCGACCTTGGAATACAGTTCCGTCGGCCAGCACCAGACAGCACGGCGGACCTACTTCGCAGTTCAACTCCTCTGCTGTCATTTTACTAAAAAGAAAACATAACGTCTATTAAAAGCAACATTTATTTTGTTCCAATGTTCTGCATAATAATTTTTCGGAATATTTAGGAAAATTCCGACAAAAAGAAATACATATTACGGGATCCTAAAACTATCGCATACACTCTTTGTGTAGTTCTAAGTATAAGCTTTTTCTGACTCAACTTTTATGTCATAATTAGAAAGAAGAACAAAGAAAATTCAACAATGGCCTCTGGCTAACAACTAAAGTAAGGTTATTTACTCGATGCATTTCGGAACCCTAAAAACCGTATCAAGATTCTTCAAAACAATTACTTGTTACAAATGTATTCAAAGTCGTATAAATGATTCGTGATTTCTAAAATTACGGGATGAAAACGTTGTGATTATCTATCATTCCGGTATTTCAGAGTGCAGTATTATCTACTCTATGTGTAACCTCACTAATTTTCTTTGAAGTTTACGTATATATACTTAACATATTCCGATATTATTACCTGCTAATGTTTAAATGTCGCACTCTTTTTTATTTTAAGGAGGACTGGTAAAAATGTGTCAAACATGCTGAAGATGATGACCTTCTTTTCTTGATTTTCAAGTCATAATCAATGACTTGAAAATCAATTCAGAAAGCTAAAACCTGTACCTAAAAGTTGAAATTTAGAAAACTTATCTTAATAATTCTAATTACGTGTGTTAAGTAATTGTTTGTAGTTTGGCGAGAGGTAGTCTTTTGCAAAATGAATACTTGAAGAAAAATATATTTTTTTGTAGGATTTTATCTAAATATTCCGAAAAACTGGTGGTTGCAACAACGCGTTGCAAAGTTTAAACAAACATAGTGTACCTACCTATTCCAAATAACGTTAATTATTAATGTACTTATGTGATTTCCATAATCTTTTACTTTAACTACTTTTAACTGCCTCCGTGGCCGAACGGTTACCATACCGGACTGCCACGCAGAGGTCCCCGGGTTCGATTCCCGGGCCGGGAGAAATATTTGTATGGCCTACATTTATTTCTCTCGTGAGTTTGGGTGTAATTTGTGGTTGTCTATGTGTGTGTCCATGGCACCCGCGACACAGGGTTTCCCTAGTGCGGGGCTATGTTGAGTGTGTGCGTTATTATTATTATTATAATCCCGAAAAAATTGGGGGAATTTTAAACGTTTTAAAGTAGTCTCCACTTTCTGTCTCTGTTCCTCGAAGTTTCGGTAAAAATACTCTACCAAGACCGATTACTGGTTATCACACATAAATGTTGATGAATATTTATAACATTTTGTCTATTTGTAATGTTTAAGTAATCGTTAAGTTAAAGATTAATTAATAAAACAGATAATACGGTAAAAAAATTGTGTACCATTTTAATAAATAGTTAACACTTAGGTTCGAACATCGCCTCCAGAGTAACGGAATAAAATCCGTCAATGCAAAGCTTGACATGCCGCTGTCTATACTTCTAGATAAATCAACCTAGACGTAAATATAAGAGCTTTAAGGCTCAGCTAAGGTTACACATGGTGACTTCAGCAGCGACTCAAACGCGCTACAAAAGTTTTCACCAGTTTTGCAAATTGAAATTTTCAACTAGGACACATAGAAATGACGTTTATTATACCAATTTCAAAATTGCGTAATAATTTCTGATCAAACAAACGTTGTTTAAGCTTAAGGCATTTAATACTTAAGATTCGATACTAACTCAGTGCGAATTCAATTTTTTCCCTTACTAATACGGTTTATTTTGCTTAGGTTGCATTGCAGGGACACTGGCTTTATTTCAGAATTAATTTGTTTTACAAACGAAATTAAAACCATTTGAAAAATGTATATCTCGTACAGTATACGTGTTTTATTTAGTTCAGTTGCCATAAAAAAATCGTTGGTATATATAAAGTACCTATTATATTATACCTATCACAGTACATTTACTCAAATATTTTATATGCCCGTAAAAATATACATAATTACAATAAGAAAGAAGATATCCATAATATTAACCTTAGAGCTAAGTCCAAACTCATGGTACCACGATTTCGTTTAACCAAGGTAAACAACTCTTTTATGGGGAACTGTATACGTTTTTACAATAAGATTCCGGAGCATATATTAAGTTTATCATTTCCTAAGTTTAAAAACTACATTAAAAATATTTTGATCGAAAAATCATATTACAAAATTGAAGACTACGTGTTAGATAAAGATGTATGGAAAGACGACATGGCTCCAGAATCCACAGAAATTTGATTCAAATTGTATTCCATAGCATTTAAGTTTATTTGAAAAGAGCAATCCCTAGAGTTTCTTGCTCGTTCTTCTCAGGGAGGTCAGCGTAGTGAACGAGCAGTACCTTAAATGTGACGTTTTCAAGTGTAAATTTATTTTACCTATGGAATAAATCATCTTTGACTTTGACTTTGACATTAAATACAGCGCTTTTCTTGTAAAATTTCGAGGTAAGTTTGTGCTTTCTTTCTATCGTGAAAATTGTCAGGAATTGTGTTTTTACACCATATGGTAATCGGTGTGTATCATCAGTTTTACTATATATTTTTTCCAAAGTGATTAATTTAACACTTTCAGTGTTACGCGGAAACAGCCAAAGCCATTTGGGGTAGTATACATTCATAAAGTGCAAGGCTTACGTGTCCGGGAGTGTATTGTGCATAATTTCTAATTTTACCCTAACACTTATAACAATAGACGAATAACCGAATTTGGGATCCAGCTAGACGGCGCAGTCAAAAATACTTCAAGCTAGACACTAGTTTTGGACCGTTATTATCGCAAAAGACAGAGTAGAATTTGAACCTTAAAAGCCAAGCTTGACGTGGTCTTGACCTTGTACGCTAATGTAATTGTATGACTCAAGCATTTTTATTGCTTCAATCGACTCAAATTGTATAAAGCTGAATAAACTTTTGTTTATTAATTGAGCATAGATAACAAATAATTAAGAAACTCAAAACGTAACATAGATAGGTATAAATTAAAAATCCATACTGTAGGTAACTATAAAAACCTGCCACATCTTTTCCTTTCCTTAGTCGATTCTTTATGTAATATTGGTTGTGTGGAATAGATGTCCATGTTTAGTTATAAAATATATTTGTATATAAAGCTGAGGGTCTTGTAGCCAAAGCTGAATAAAAATGAACGAATGACACTTTACGGCGAAAAAAACTGAAAATACATCTAGAACCGTAGAGGGAGATTTTATTTTCCTTCTACATCTAGAAACTGGAAATTTCGATCCTCTAAGTCTAGAACACATTTTTACTAACACTAGAAATTATAGTTATTCCGCTCCGCTTTTAGCAAAACCATTATTAGTGTCATATCAAGTAATTTTAATTCTTTTTTTCTAAATTGTCATTATTTTTATTTTCAACGAATTTCAATTCATAAAGATATAACATTATCATAACAAATTGATACGTGAATAGTTGGGAGATTTAGATTTTAGATTATAGTAATAATTATATTATATTATTGCCGAGAATAATTTCCTTGTAGGTATTATTATCGGCAAAGAAGAACAATAATCGATTTGTTTTTAATATGTCAAGTGATGGGATGAACAAGTCGTGCGCTTGAAGATTTGCGACACTGTTACCTATAACAGTTACAGTGCTACTTAGTGTTTTAAATCGCAATGATCTCTCAGAGTCTCTCAGACTGCCACTGCGTCCGTCATCTTGAGACATAAAGCTGACAAGTTTCCTTCAAAATCGGAACGCAGTTATGCTGACTTTATAGTTTGGCGGCAAAAATAGGTATAGAGGCACTACTTCCCTGGACGAATTCTTTCACAAGTAACTCTACTCCTACTATAATAATATTTAGAAGTTCGTATTAGTCCAGTCTATTATAAAGTACCTTTTATAACATATTAGTAAATAAATTCGTTATTTGCTTCTCATAAGTATTCTTTGTCGGCTGCGTCTTCACTAATCATACCGCAAAACGGTTTTGAAAATAAAAAAAACTAATTTTTAGACCCCGAAAACATAATTAGAACACATGAAACTTCTGTGTAACTTCTATGTAATATACTAAATTATAATTATTCTGACTTCTTTGGCTGGATAACAGTGTGGCGCACTGTTTCCACCCCCGCTTATATAATAGGGGTTAAAGTATGAAATTGCCGATTTGTACTGAAAAT